CACCCCCATAGCCAAAGTGGGGTGTAATCAGCAGAGCAAGCAAAGCAGTACAAGCTCAGGGTGGATCACAATGTCACCACACATTCTGAGCACAAGTTCAAGAAGCAATAGTTTAAAGATCACAATTATGAGCAAAGCTAGTGGTAGTCACAACGGGCAAGTGAGGAGGAGGAAAGAGACTATGAGAGGAGAGGAGGTAGTGGGCGGCAGCTGAAGCTGCTGGCACACGGCGCAACTGGAGCAACTGGCACACGGGCAACTGGAGCAACTGGCACACTGGCAACTGGAGCAACTGGCACACGGGCTACTGGAGTAACTGGCTCCGCGGCTGAAAGTAGCGGCAGACGAGCAACGGACTCACGGGCGACTGGAGCAACGGGCTCACGGGCGACTGGCGCAACGGGCTCACGGGCGACTGGCGCAACGGTCTCACGGGCGACTGGAGCTGCTGGCTTCACGGCGGCCACCCCCTTCAACCTCCCCAAACTATCCCACTCCCCCTGACACACACCCGCTGCTACACCGCTAACTTCACTCCCCCTTCACCCCCCCCTTAGTACCACTCCGACGGCTCCAACAGGTCCACCCCCCTCAGCGGCAGCTGCAGCACAGGGAGACGGAGGAGGAGGAGGAGCAGGGAACGGCACACAGAAGCTGCACCCCCATACCCCCCACCCCCAAACCCTAATCCAGGAGTACGGGCAGAAGGAGGGGTGGGGCGCCTTCAGAAGCACGGGGGACAGTGGGGAGGACAGGGGCAGCGAAGAACGGGCCGCCCACGGGTCTGGCACAGCCTCCCGAACCGCGCGCAGGCGGCCCGAGCCGCGCGCGGGCCTGGCGCAGCCCGTACGGGCCGCGCGCGGGCCTGGCGCAGCCCGTACGGGCCGCGCGCCGGCTGTACGGGCCGCGCGCAGGCCACGACGGGCGACGGGGGGCGACGCGCGGGTCCCCGTCGCCCGTCGCATCGCCTCCCGGGAGCAACGCGCGGTGTGACGGGGCAGAAACCCGCCGCGCGCCTCGGGGCGCACGGCGGGCAGAGAACCGCCGCGCGCCTCGGGGCGCACGGCGGGCAGAAAACCGCCGCGCGCCTCGGGGCGCACGGCGGGCTGAAAACCCTAATTTCAACGCCGCGTACCACGAGGCGCGCGGCGGACAGGGAGTAGCAGTAGCAGCGGAAGCAGTGAAGTGGTGGGCCCACAGGACAGGAGCGTAACCGCTCTGTTACCATGTCAAGATAGTAAGGACAGTGAGAAGCCATAGCTAGGGTTGACCTAGCTAGGCAAGCAAGAAATGAACAAAGGAGGGCTTGCACTAGCAAGAATGGGGATACAAATAGCAAACCCTAGAAGGGTTGTACTCGCTATAGAGCACCCCACTACAGGCTACAGCATAATATTCTGACAATTAGATAATCCAAATAGTGTAAACTAACAATCACAAAACAAAATAGACGCGTAACTAGTCCTTAGCGGGGTTTTGATGACGAGAGAACCCTTGCCGAAACCAGCGATCGGACGAAATGGGCAAAGGGAAATACCAGAATTGCAAACCAGCCTGAGTCATTTTGCAAACTGCATATGGCCCATAGGTATGAATCTCGTCCACGCATGCAAGCTCTACGCCAACTGACAGTTTGTGATCCCTCCGATTCCCGAAGCACCTAAACTGAAAGCAATTGAAAGATAGGTATGGCATAACTTTGAGTCGAGCTGCATTGAATCACATGAAACTAAACCTCTTAGGAACGTAAACGCCTTAATTGGCAATAGTCTACTTGCTATTGCTTATCGAATTCTCCACAATCTCACGAATCTAATTATACGCACAGCTCTACTTGAAGTTTGTCAATACACACTTCGACAATTTTCAAAATCTGATTGGTATATTATTTTCCAGAATTAATACAAGCAGTTTTATAGTCAGGCAAGACAAAAAATGCGATTCGTACCGCGAGTCGTTTCCCAAGCAATCTCGCGCGCGCCTCGATTCACCCCGAGTCGCATACGAAACCGAACCGAATTCGCTGAACACTCCTCAAGTCCGAATCTGGAAATTTGTCGAACACGCCTCGAGCTCAAACCACATTTTTCCACGTCGATCTCGTCCTCGATGCTTCTCCTTCCCTCTTCCTCCTCCTAGCAAATTTCTTCTCGATTTCTCTCATGCTTCTCTTCACCGTAGGCCGATTTCCACCGATTCTCTCTAGAATAGTCTGTACGCTTCCGTCGCCTTCATTACGCCATCGTAGAAGCTTTCGCCGTAGGCTCCATGGTTGGGCAAACCAACCATAACGATCTCCCTTTTGGTTCATCAACCACGAACACCATTCACACTGCTCCCTTGCTCCCTGTAGCCTTCACAGGGTCTAAGTCGGCTTCACGCTCCCCTGCGGCTCCTGCACCTTGAACCTCTGCTTATGTGTCTTGAACTTGAGTGCTTTGACATCCAAACCATGATTTATTTTCTTCACCCTCTCGCTTCTCCTCAGCATCTTCACACCCAACACCTCTCGGGTCCCGTACCCCTCGACGTGTTTCTCTTTCGTAAGCATTCGCCCCTTTGCAGTTGCATTCGCCTTTGATCCCTTCACCATGATGTCCCCTTTCACACCTTCGACTTCCACATACTTCGCATTTACTGCTCTGTCTTCTATCACAATTGCTGCTGCAAAAATGTTGACACCGACTTCATCTCCACCGTTCACTATTCCTGCCTCCATCTCCTCTTCCTGCTTCACTGCTGCCTTCACACTTACTGCCATATCATCCGTGTCCTCACTCTCATCAACCTCATTCGATAACTCCTCCAATTCTCCCATCTCAGTATATGCAGGGTCCTCATAGAACTCATCCAAGTCGTTCATCGCGACCACGTTCATCTCATAGCATCCGTCGCTGAAATAACCATCCGCATACTTCTCCCACTCAGGACCAAACACAGTAACCTCGCCACTGTCATAAAATATCTTGCACCCCAAGTCATCAAGGTGTGACTGACTAATCAAATTCAACTTTAAATTCTCAACCAGCAGCACACTCTCTAGTCTCATCTCTCCATACGGACTCTGCAACACAACGTCACCCTCTACTGTCACTGGTAACTTCCCACTGTTTGAAGTATATAACGCTCACTCGATTCTTTCACGTTCTCCATCCAATCTGACATGAACGTCATGTGCCGCGTGCATCCGCTATCCATGTACCATGACTTCTTCTCACGTCCACCCGTCCGCATATTCATGTTAGGCACCCGCACCACGTTCGCACGATGCGCTCCTCCAAGGATCACGTCATCCTCGTCCGCTTCTGCTACATTCGCCTTTCCTGCCACATTTCTCTGCTGCGATGGACCCTTGTAGCCCCTGTTATTCGGATTGGAGTAGCACTTTGCGGCACGATGTTCGTAGCGCCCAGAATAATCGCACTTGCCATTGAATCCTCGTTTCTGCTGCCACTTGTCCCCCCCCCCCCCTATATTCTCCTTTATCGTTCTCCACCGCTTTGCCTTTGTAGTTCCTGCTTCGCGGATTTCCGTAGCGGTTTATCGCCTTATGCCCCTCTTTCCACACTGGTAGCACGCTCCAAACGCTTTCGTTGCATTCACCAAAGCCGGCCACTCCTCGTCAAATTCCTTAGCTGCTGCTGCCGCTTTCTTTATCCTCATCTCCTTCACCGTCTCAAGCAAATGCGGAATCTCCTGCAGCTTCGTCAAACTCTCCAGCGTTTGGTACGTAAACGTACCGATGTTAGATTCCCACTCCTTAGGAAGGCCTTGGATGATGTAATCGATCATCTCATGCTCCGTCTCCGCGGCTCCCATCACTCGCAAATCGCCGTTGTAGCTTTTCGCTCTGTTGATGTAGGTGATCAGTTTCTCGCCTTTCTCCATGCTCAGCACCAGCAGTTGCTTCCTAATTGCCTTCTTGTTGACATCGTTGGTGCTCATGTACGTGGACTCCAAGTACTCCCACGCTAGCTGTGCAGAGTTCAACTCCCCTGGAAACTGGTCCAAATCGACCGCGATTGCATCGGCAACTGAATGACAAAGCTGAAAAAACGCTTGTTTACTTTGCCTTTTAAACGCCACAATTTTCTCCTTCGTATCCGTCGTAGAAGGCGCAACTCCCTCCTTCGTCTCCACGTCGGGACGGTAGTACGGCAAGAGGTCCACCTCCTCTGCCCTCCGAATGAACTTTTTTCGCCACATATTGTAGTTGCTGTCGTTGAAGCGCTGGGCTTCACTGAGTCCGATCGTCGGTTTCGCCACCAAACGGCACTCGCAAGGGCCTCAAGAAGAGCCTTCAACTGCGGGTCTCCAAGACTCACACCGGAACGCGAACTCACCTCGTCCGTCATGGCGTAGGCGTGAACGAATCTTCTTCTCCACTAATTCCACTTAGCGCACCAAGTCAATTTACGACGATCGACGCACCCGTTCGCCAAGCTCTGATACCAGTTCTTAGGATCGTAAACGCCTTATTCGGCAATAGTCTACTTGCTATTGCTTATCATGTTCTCCACGATCTCACGAATCCAATGATATGCGCAGCTCTGCTTGAAGTTGTCAATAAACACTTCAACAATTTTCAGAATCTGATTGGTATATTTTCCAGAATCAGTACGAGCAGTTTAATAGTCTGGCAAGACACAATGCGATTCGTAACGTAACTTGTTCCCCAAGCAATCTCGCGCGCGCCTCGAAATACCCCGAGTCACACACGAAACCGAACCGAATTCGCCGAACACTCCTCAAGTCCGAATGCGGAAATTTCTCGAACTCGCCTCGAGCTCGAACCTTTCCCCCGTCGATCTCCTAGCACATTTCTTCTCGATTTCTCTCACGCTTCTCTTCACCGTAGGCCGATTTCCACCGCTTCTCTCTAGAATAGTCCATACGCTTCCGTCGCCTTCATTACGCCATCTTAGAAGCTTTCGCCGTAGGTTCCGTGGTTAGGCGAACCAACCCTAACAAAACCTACGCCTCCATTTCCTGTTTTTGCGATGTCGGCGGGCAAGCGCTATCGCGCGGAGCCCTCACGGAAGACGGTGCTGCTGGAGGTGGGCGAGTCACTCCGCCAGGCCAGCCGCACGGGTGAAGCCGGCAGTGGCGGAATCGGCCGCGGAGGGGCTTTTGCGGGGGGGCGTTCTCTTAGCCGTGCGGGTGGCGGCGAGCGGAATGCGCTTCTGTGCTCGCCGCCAGCCACGGAGGCCTCCGCGGGCGGGGGAAGCTCCACGGGGGAAGCAGGTGGGCTGGAGCGCGGGGAATGGCCGCTTCAGGCGGCGCTGGACGCGGAGACGCGCGCGAGGAGCGGGCCGGCGGCGGGCGTGGGGGGAAGGGGGAGAGGAAGAGGGGTAGGCGGAAGGAAGGGGGCGAGAGAGGACGCGCGGAGAGCGGGGGTAGTGGGTGCGCGGGGGGGATCGGGGATGGGAGGGGGCAGCGCGGCAGCAAGGGGGTGGGCGAGCGACGCGTCGCTGGAGCGGCTGCAGCGCGAGGCGACGAGCTACAGGCTGTGGGGCGCGGGGGGGACAGGTGGCGCCACGTCAGCAGCAGCAGGGGCGGCGGACGCCGACGCCGCACAGCCTGCCACGCCTCCGCCGAAGCTACCAGAGCGGTTCGGATCGGTGGAGGAGTATGTGGGGGCGTTTGAGCCGCTGCTGTTTGAGGAGGCGCGCGCCCAGGTGGCGAGCAGTTGGGAGGAGGTGGAGGGCGGCGAGGGGGGCGGCGGGCGCGCAGGGGGGAGCAGCGCAGGCGTGGCAGTGCGAGTGGCGTCGCTGGAAGCCACCCACCGAGGTGACTGACGCTCCACATCCCCCATACCTGCTGCTCCACTCGCCTCGCCTTGCACGCACGCACCACTCGCACCTCTCCACCCTCACCCTCTGCTCTTGCCTCTTTCCTTTCGCCTCTCAGTTCGCTTTGCTGCCCTCACCACTTCCCACCACGTGAACCACCTTTCCTCCCACCTTAGCCGCTCAAAGGACACGTTGCCGCGCCACCACCCACGCACGCCCTCCCCACCCCCACCCAAGGCTGGCACGAGATGCTGCTACAGCCACTCGCAGAGCAGCAGCAGCAGGGGGGGCGACGGGCAGGGTGGAAGGAGGGCGAGTGGAAGGATGGCGACGTGGCTGTGCTGTCCACTGCACGGTTAGCAGCGAGCGATGAAGGTGAGAGTGATGATGGGTCATGCCCATACTCCTGTGCCTATGCTCCCATACCCATGCTTCCATGCCCATGCCCACGCCCATGCCCATGCCCATGCCCATACTCTCATGCCCATGCCCATGCCCATACTCTCATGCCCATGCCCATGCCCATACTCTCATGCCCATGCCCATGCCCATACTCTCATGCCCATGCATGCCCATACTCTCATGCCCATGCATGCCCATGCACATGCACATGCCCATACACATGTTCATGGAGATGAGCAAACTGAAGTGAGCGGCCTCTCGTTGTTGTTCTTGACGTGACTTCCCTTCCTTTTGGCGCCCCTCACAAGCCTTCATCCGTTGCACTCTTTCTGCCACTCACTCTGCCGTGCAGACCAACCACGCGCATCACCGCCACAGCCACCCCAGCAGCTGCGCATAGCTGGCATCGGGCGGCGCTGTTACGAGCCCATCCAGGACGACCGCGGTGCCGCCCGGGCCACCATCATTTTCACCTTCCACGAGTCCGCCCTGCCGCCCGAGTATGTAACCCTGCCGCCCGAGTATGTAACCCTGCCGCCCGAGTATGTAACCCTGCCCCCCGAGTATGTAGCCCTGGCCCTTGCGTGTGCTGTCCTGCCGCCATCATACCTTCCCTTGCGCCATGCATGCCTCTCCCCGCACCCCTTGCGCCATGCATGCCTCTCCCCACACCCCTTGCGCCATGCATGCCTCTCCCCACACCCCTTGCGCCATGCATGCCTCTCCCCACACCCCTTGCGCCTCCCCCTGTCAGCGAGCCTGTGTCTCTCCTGAAGGAGGTCAAGAGCAGGAACCTTCCGTGCACCTTCACGCCAGTGACATCCCTGACAACGGCGCAGAGGGAGTTCTCTTCCCTGCACTCCGTGGCGCACCTGCAGCCGCAGGTGGCTTCAATGCACCTGCTGTTTTTGCGATGATGTGTCTTCTTGGCTCGAAGCCCTTCCGCACGAACACTCGTCAACTGCCGTGTTGTGTCCTTTGTCGCTTTTCCACTCCATGCTTTCCACTCCATGCTTTCCACTCCATGCTCTCCACTCCTCAACCCCATTGCCTTGCCCACGCATGCCCATGAACACCATCATGTTAAATGATCCCTCCCTCCCTCTCTCTCCCTCCCTCCCTCCCTCCCTCCCTCCCTCCCTCCCTCCCTCCCTCCCTCCCTCCCTCCCTCCCTCCCTTCCTCCCTCCCTCCTTCCAACCCAACCCCCTCCCCCCCCCTCCATCATCAGATGCTGGAGGCAGTGCTGCGTCCAGGCCCCCATCTCTTCCCCGACTACGTCAACGAGATGCCGCCGGATCTCTCCGCCGTCTTCCCACCCGCCTTCTGTGCGCACCTGCAGTCCTCCTTCAACGCGCCGCAGCTGCAGGCCATCCACTGGGCCGCCGCCCACACCGCCGCCCACACGCCCACTGCTCCTGGAAATGCTGCCGGCACTGCCGCCTCCGGCTGGCCAGGGTCGGGCGGCGTGGGGGGCAGCAACAGCAGCAAGGGCGGGTGGCCGTTCACGCTGGTGCAGGGGCCGCCGGGGACGGGCAAGACGCACACGGTGTGGGGCATGCTGAACGCCATCCACCTCGTGCACTACCAGCGCTACTACCACTCGCTCCTCGCCAAGCTCGCCCCCGCCGCCTCCGCCACGCTCCTATCCGACGACCCAGCGTCGGCAGGTGCCGGCTCGGAGAATTCAGGTTCGGCGGAGGCGGTAGGTTCGGGAGGGGGCAGCATAGAGGAGGTGTTGGAGAGCATGGATCGGCTGGTGGCGCCGAGGCGGCAGGTGCGGGTGGCACGCAAGCCGCGCATGCTGGTGTGTGCGCCGTCCAACGCGGCGGTGGACGAGCTGCTGTCGCGCGTGCTCTCCAAGGGCTTCCTGGACGGCGAGATGCGCACCTACCGCCCAGATGTGGCGCGCGTTGGTGCCGAGGCCGCCACCCCCGCTGCTCAGGTGAGCGGGGGGGAGGAGGAGGGGGAAAAGCTGGTAGGATCTGGCCGTGGCTCCTAAATCAGATTCAAGATGACTCGTGTTATGGAAGGTTACATCGCAAAACTTGTGTTTGCCCTCTTCATTGCTGTTGCTTGTGAATCAGTGTGGCTCAGTAACAACACCTTCACGCTCTCCTTACAGCCATTGCCCCTCGCCTCCTTTGTGCTGACGTTCCATCTCTCCCCACTCCTCCCCACACATTCCCATGCACCTCCCTCGGCCAGGCGGTATCGGTGGAGCGGCGGTCGCAGCAGCTGCTGCAGATGCCGGCAGAGGAGGCAGCCCACCACGTGGCAGTGCTACGGCACAAGGAGGGCCAGCTGGCATGCCATGTCAGCGTGCTGCAGCGCCAGATCCGCGAGCTGGTGGAAGCGGGGGGAGGGGGGAGTGGGGAGGGGGGCAGTGCGGTGGGGATGGATCCAGAGGTGTTGGTGCAGCGGGAGCGGGAGAGGGACGCCCTCGTGCAGCGACTGGCAGTGAGTGCAGCGAGTGTGGCAATGGTTGTGTCTGAGTCCAAGGAAGGAGGTACCTGTATTGAAGGGAGCATAAGTAACGTTTCCTGCCCAAGTCTCTTAAATTGGTAGTTATGACTTCACAAAGGGATATAATTTTCCACTTGTTTCAGTCCCTCCAATTCGTCCCCCTCACGCCCATCTCATGCGTTTACCATGGCGCCAGGCAGCTGTGGAGGAGAGGGAGCAGGTGGGAGTGGAGGTGGGGCGGCTGCTCATCGTGCTGGGGGCGCGGCGGGGCGACGTGGCAGTGGAGGCGGCGAGGGCACAGCTGGAGGCGAGCTTTGCGGAGGAGGCGGAGGTGGTCTTCACCACCGCCAGCAGCAGCGGCCGCCGGTGAGCCTCCCTGCCAGGCCCTTTCAGGCGGCTCTGAGAGGTTCTTTCACAGCAGCAGTCACGCAGTAGGGCTTCAAGAACAGAAGACCCATTAGGAAAGGTGTGCGGCAGTGTACAAGTAAGATGTTGTATTCAGTATAGTAGAAATGGGGCAAGCACGTTTGGCTCAAGGAGGAGGAGGCACGGAGATGGGTTGGCGGATGACAAGGGCCTGCGCTTGCACTTGAGGCCGTGCATGTGGAGGGCAAGAGTTGTGAGGGCAAGTGGTGCAGCGAGCACGTGGATGAGGCGTGCATTTGTCACCACATAGTTGACTTCGCCTTGCCCCCACACCCCTTCTCCCTCTTCCCCCAACCCCGTCCCTCCCCGACCCGACTCCCCCCTGGGAGCAGCATATTCGCGCGCCTGGCACACGGGTTTGACATGTGTGTGTTTGACGAGGCGGCGCAGGCCAGTGAGATGGCGGCGCTGCCCCCCCTCACGCTGCGCTGCCAGCGCTGTGTGCTCGTGGGCGACCCCCAGCAGCTGCCCGCCACCGTCATCAGCCGCCTCGCCTCCTCGCTGGATTACAGGTGGGCCGCCCTCCCTGCACCACCGGTTAACTGCACTGTCCAATCACCTGTGTCTGTCCAATCACCTGTGTCTGTCCAATCACCTGTGTCTGTCCAATCACCTGTGTCTGTCCAATCACCTGTGTCTGTCCAATCACCTGTGTCTGTCCAATCACCTGTGTCTGTCCTATCACCTGTGTCTGTCCAATCACCTGTGTCTGTCCTATCACCTGTGTCTGTCCAATCACCTGTGTCTGTCCTATCACCTGTGTCTGTCCAATCACCTGTGTCTGTCCTATCACCTGTGTCTGTCCAATCACCTGTGTCTGTCCTATCACCTGTGTCTGTCCAATCACCTGTGTCTGTCCTATCACCTGTGTCTGTCCAATCACCTGTGTCTGTCCTATCACCTGTGTCTGTCCAATCACCTGTGTCTGTCCAATCACCTGTGTCTGTCCAATCACCTGTGTCTGTCCAATCACCTGTGTCTGTCCAATCACCTGTGTCTGTCCAATCACCTGTGTCTGTCCAATCACCTGTGTCTGTCCAATCACCTGTGTCTGTCCAATCACCTGTGTCTGTCCAATCACCTGTGTCTGTCCAATCACCTGTGTCTGTCCTATCACCTGTGTCTGTCCAATCACCTGTGTCTGTCCAATCACCTGTGTCTGTCCAATCACCTGTGTCTGTCCAATCACCTGTGTCTGTCCAATCACCTGTGACTGTCCAATCACCTGTGTCCGTCCTATCACCTGTGTCTGTCCAATCACCTGTGTCTGTCCTATCACCTGTGTCTGTCCAATCACCTGTGTCTGTCCTATCACCTGTGTCTGTCCAATCACCTGTGTCTGTCCTATCACCTGTGTCTGTCCAATCACCTGTGTCTGTCCTATCACCTGTGTCTGTCCAATCACCTGTGTCTGTCCAATCACCTGTGTCTGTCCAATCACCTGTGTCTGTCCAATCACCTGTGTCTGTCCAATCACCTGTGTCTGTCCAATCACCTGTGTCTGTCCAATCACCTGTGTCTGTCCAATCACCTGTGTCTGTCCAATCACCTGTGTCTGTCCAATCACCTGTGTCTGTCCTATCACCTGTGTCTGTCCAATCACCTGTGTATGTCCTATCACCTGTGTCTGTCCGTGATCTTTCCGCTTTGGCTTCGCTATCTAAAAAGTTTCTTCCTTCTCTTTAGCTTCCCCTTCTTTCTGTCCCCCCTCCCGTGCCTGCCCATGCCTGCCCATGCCTGCCTGCCCCCACCAGTCGCTCACTGCTGGAGCGCTTCCAGCGAGCGGGCTGTCCAACACTACTACTGACAGAGCAGTACCGCATGCACCCGGCCATCCGCACCTTCCCCAGCCGCTACTTCTACAGCGACCGCCTCACCGACGCGCCCGCCATCACCGCACTGCCAGATGAGCCATACCACGCCGACCCGCTGCTACGCCCGCTGCTCTTCTTCGATGTCAGCGCGGGGCGCGAGTCGCACGGCGAGCGCTCCGTGTCGTACCAGAACACCACCGAGGCCGCACTCGCTGTCGCGCTCTTCCAGGTGCATTCACAAGTCACGCCTCCTTCCAAACACTGCAAGTAGCAGTGTCACTGCCTGGCCCTGCAAGTAATGGTGTCACTGCCTGGCCCTGCAAGTAGAGATGTCATTGCCTGGTTCAAACATATTCAATGCGGTTGCTCTTCATTGCCTCCCACCCATCCGCCCTTTTTTTCTTCCTCCCCATGCGACTTCATTTCCATCCGCCCTCGCTGTCGTGTGCTTTCAGGTGCACCAGGGCTCTGCGTGCCACTGCCAAGCCAAGCACACACATTGCACACATTGCACACATTGCACACATTGCACACATTGCACACATTGCACACGTTGCACACACATTGCACACATTGCACACATTGCACACACATTGCACACATTGCACACATTGCACACATTGCACACATTGCACACATTGCACACATTGCACACATTGCACACACATTGCACACATTGCACACATTGCACACACATTGCACACATTGCACACATTGCACACATTGCACACATTGCACACATTGCACACATTGCACACGTTTCAACTGCGCCATTCTTCATTTGCTCCTCACAGCCTCCCACCCATCCTCTTCCCACGTGCCTTCGCCTCTGCCCCCCTGGCAGCGGCTGCAGGAGGTGAGTGCAGCAGCGGGCGCCACAGGACCAGTGCCGGTGGGGGTGGTGACGCCCTACCGCCAGCAGCTCAAGCTGCTGCGCCGCTCCTTCGACCAGCTCGCCCGCTCCGCCCCCTCGCCCCCACTGCCCGTGCCTGCTGCCCTTGCCGCTGCTGCGGAGCAAGCGGCAGGGAATGCTGCTGCCATCCAAGTGCAGCAGCACGAGCAGCAGCAGCAGCAGCAGCAGCAGCAGCAGCAGCAGCAGGGGCAGGGAGCGCCAGACCCAGGCAGTGCTGCCAGCCAGGAGTGGCATCCTGCCCTCCTCGCCGCACCACCACCCCCTTCTGCGTCTGCTGCTGCCACGGCCCCACGGCCATCAGTGGCAGCAGTGGCAGCGGGCGGGGCAGCGCTGTACGTGAACACGGTGGACGCCTTCCAGGGGCAGGAGCGTGACGCCATCATCCTCTCCTGCGTGCGCGCCTCTACGCGCGGGCTGGGCTTCGTGGCCGACGTGCGGCGCATGAACGTCGCCATCACACGCGCCAAGCGCTCCCTCTGGGTCAGCCCACCTCTGCCTGACCCTCTCCTCTGCCTGACCCTCTCCTTTGCCCGACCCTCTCCTCTGCCTGACCCTCTCCTTTGCCCGACCCTCTCCTCTGCCTGACCCTCTCCTCTCTGCATTCACACCCCACCCTCAACCCGCCTCGTGCTACCTTCTCTGTCACGGAGTGGAGGGGAACATTGGCTGGTGCACGCCGGTGCGTACAACAAGCCACTAGGAGCACGGAATGCGTGTCACAGTCAAGTGTGCGCCTGCTCTCCCTGCCCTGCCCCCTGACCCCTGCCCCATGCAGATTCTTGGGAACGCAGCATCGCTGCAGCGCTCGCCAGCATGGGCGGCGCTCATCGACGATGCGAAGCAGCGCGGATGCTTCCTCTCCTCCGACTCCTTCGCCCCCACCCTCCTCCCCTCCCTCGCCTCCACTGCCCCCCACCGTTCCTCCCCTCCCCGACGACACCCCCCCCGCCGCCATTCTCCTCGCCGCTTCACTTCCTCTCGAAATGACTTAGGCTCTGGAGGCAGGCGAGGGGAGGAGGGTGGAGGGGCTGCTGGTTGCAGCAGTGGCGCGGCGGGTGACAGGTGGGACGGGGACACGGGGGGGAGTGGGGCGCAGGGGCTGTCAGATGGGCGGAGGGGTGAGGAGGTGTGGGAGGAGAGGAGTGCATGGCCAAACCGCCATGAGGGCACGCGCAGAGGCGGGCACCGGCAGGGCCATGGGCATGGGCATGGGCATGGGCATGGGAATGGGCATGGGCATGGGCATGGTTACCGGGTTGCCCATTCCCGTTACAATGGGCAGAGGTATGCTGGCACCCAGCAGGCAAACTCACATGAAGGTGCGGAAGGGCCGCACGAAGGGGAGGCATTGCCTCCTGGGTTTGAGGGGCAGGCTGAGAACGGACGAGAGAGGGACTGGAAGAGACGACGATTGGACAATAAAAATATGTGATACACAATCGCAGCATACCCTAGATTTACTACCGTCATCGCCCGAATTGTAGGCAGGGGTGTCTATATGTCAAATGTTATAGCCTCTAGTGGGTTATGCTATATGGGGTACAAACAATTAGGATTAGGTATTTGTACTTTGACCCAATCAATCCAACCCATTCCGCTGCTTTCAGTTTGTGAGATGGTATCAGCAGTAGGTTCGCCGTTCCTAGGCCACACCCAGTCTCTGCCGTTCCTGAACTTAGGCCATCTCTAGCCTTGGCATGCCCTCCCCCCCTCTCTCCTCCCCGTCTTCCCTAATCGCCCTAGCCAGCAGGCCCGCCAGCACGCTAGCCAGCAGGCCCGCCAGCGCCCTAGCCAGCAGGCCCGCCAGCGCCCTAGCCAGCAGGCCCGCCAGCGCCCTAGCCAGCAGGCCCGCCAGCGCCCTAGCCAGCAGGCCCGCCAGCACGCTAGCCAGCAGGCCCGCCAGCGCCCTAGCCAGCAGGCCCGCCAGCGCCCTAGCCAGCAGGCCCGCCAGCGCCCTAGCCAGCAGGCCCGCCAGCACACTAGCCAGCAGGCCTGCCAGCGCGCACGCCAGCGCGCCCCGCCAGCGCGCACGCCAGCGCGCCACGCCAGCGCACCAGCTAGCGCACCACACCAGCGTGCACGCCAGCGCGCACACCAGCGCGCCACTCCGACGCGCACGCCAGCGCCGCCCGCCCGTCGGCCCGCCGCGCTGCCCGCCAGCCAGCGCGCCGCGCCGCCCGCCAGCCAGCGCGCCGCGCCACCTGCCCGCCTGCACGCCTGCGCGCCTGCCCACACGCCACTGACTAGCTCACACTCCCACGGCTGGCAGCCGCGCTCTCTCAGTTTCGCCCCCTATGGCGACCTCCCGAGTACTTCGCTTTGACCCTGAGGGGAGACCTGTTGACTTTAGTACGTGGCTTACGCAGGCGCAGCGCCACCTTAAGAGCCAGCGGCAGGATGGCGTGCACCTGTTCGCATACGCGTCCGGTACTCAGACAGCCCCTCCGCAGCCTACACCGCTGCCCACTACCCCACCGCCTACTCCTGAGCAGGAGGCCCAGTACCAGCACCAGTTCCTTGCACGCGACGTGTGGGAGTCTCGTGACGCCGCTGCCTGCCTCGCCCTGACCGACCTTCTCCCGCCGACAGAGGCGATCCACTCCACTCAGGTCGAGTCTGCCGCCGATTTATATAAGGCCATTGTTGCTCGCTACTCCACTCCCTCCTCTGCCTCCCTCAGTCGCCTCCTCGTCCCCTTTATCTACCCTGACCTCGCCTCCTTTGAGACTGTCTCCGACCTCGCTACCCACCTTCGCTCCCTTGACGCTCGCTTTCGCGCTGCTTGCACTGAGGATCAGCTTGCCCCCGCACCGCCCCCTATGTGGCTCACTATTCACTGGCTAGTCACTCGCCTCCCTGACCGCCTAGCCACAGCCCGCAACGCACTTCTTTTGAAGCACCCCACTGAGCTTACCATCGATCTTCTTGAGCTGCTCTCTCAAAGTTCGAGAGTAACCTCCTCACTGTTGCCTCTGCCTCTTCCGCGCCTCCTCCTCGTCTCTTTGAGGGGTGTGCGGTGCCGCAGCTTCCCACCTTCACTGCCTCACTTGCCACCCCCACGTCTTCTGCCTCTGAGGAGACGGCGGCTGTTTCTGTCTCTAGCGGACAGAAACGTGGCAAGGGCGGCAAGAAGGGCGGGAAGAGCGGCGGGGGTGCTGGAGGTGGTACTGGTGGTGGTGGTAGCGGTGGAGCAGGTGGTGGGAGTGGTGGTGGGGGTGGCTCGGGACCTGACGGCCCTCCTCTCGAGGGTGGCGTTTACACTGGTGGTGAGGGGTTCCAACAGCAGCAGCAGCCGGCTTCCCTGCAGCTGCCACCGCCTGGACAGCAGTCGCGGCAGGGACCGCAGCAGCAGCGACAGGGCCAGCAGCAGCGCCCACCACAGCAGCAGCCTCAGCAGTGGGGCCCTCCGCAGCAGTGGAGGTCCGCGGGTCCCCCGAGCACTGGGCGCAGCGGCGCCCCCTCCAGCTGGGGACCTTGCTCGGTCGGCCGCGACGTTGGTCCCTGTGAGTACTGGATCCTTACGGGTCCACGTAGGGACTCGTACTGTGGCCGCCCTGACCACTCTGTTGCACGCTGCTTCAGTCGTCTAGATGACCTCTACCGCTTGCACCACGGCCCCTCTGCTCCCCCGCCGCCACGCTGGGGGACACTTCTTGCTCGTGGCATCTCTGTTTTTGATATGCCTATGGATGATGCTAGGTCTTATGTCATGTATGCTGATGCTGACTGTAGTGCTCCTGGATCTGTGTACTTGCCTGTACCTAGCGTAGGATCTTTGCCTGTTGCTAGAGTAGGTGCTAGTGTAGTATCTTGTTTAGCTAGTAATACAGGTACTCCCTCAGCGGACGGGTCTCTCTCGTTCGCACTGGACTCGGGAGCTTCACACTGTTTCTTCCGCGACCGCACGACTCTCTCTCCACTGCCGGCGCCAGTCCCTGTAGCACTGGCCGATCCCTCCTCGGGACCGGTCATTGCGACTCACGCCACTACCCTCCCGTGCCCAGCTGCCCCTTCCGGTTCCCTGACTGGCCTCCACGTTCCTACGTTCTCTAGGAACCTGGTTGGTGTGGGCCCCCTGGCGAGACAGCACGTCGGGGTCTGGTTTGAGCCTTCTGGTGACACCGGGGTCTATGTGGACGGTGACACGTACGCCCCCTTGGCCACTTTTCGCCAGGAGCCGGGCTCCGGTCTGTACACCCTCCACACCGACCCCCGTCAGGTTCCTCCGTCCCGCCAGGTTGCAGAGTCCACTCAGGTTGCTGTGTCTGGTCAGGTTGTTGCGTCGTGCTCGTGTCGGTCGCTTGCCCTCCCCTCCCTCCTCTAGCACCACCGCCTTGGTCATCCGTCCCTCCCTCATC